AGAGAGAGAGAGACAGAGAGAGAGAGAGACAGAGAGAGAGAGAGAGAGAGAGCAGGCGTGGAGCATTCCCAAGAAAAGTGTTGTGAAACCGAACCTGGTTGCCGATTCCCGCTTGGTCAAACTGGCAAACGAAAAAGGGGTGGGTGGATGTATGGATGGGTGTGTGGGTGGACGACAATGCCTCGGCGGCGATCGGAGAGCAGCCTTCAAGACGCCGTTAACCACTGCTAATCTGTTTTATAATAATCTAATCCTAGATAATTTGACCTATTTTTGTAAAATCTTTCTATTATTTGGTACTGCCAGAGTGAGTACTGTATAGTTTGTTTAGTGGAAAATCATTCCGGTCCGGACAAAGTGACACAGATGAACAGAATTCTTTTTACAACCAAATAATAGAAGAGACCACACTACCAAGTGGTGTAGCTCAGTTGGTACATGTTACATGCTGCGCCTGCACATGGGCCCCATTTTGGGGGCCCGACGGTTGCTGGGGGACCCCAGGCCGCACGCCCTTCGAGCATGCGCCGTGGAGGCCCAAGGCCGGCCTTAGGATCGCAGGATTCGATTTGAGGCAGCATTCATTCATTTATTTATTTATTTGCTGTCCTATTTTTGTCTTTTCCAGGCGTCGTTTCGGACTTGCAGTGCGTCCGAACCGTGTGTCTGTTCGGACCAAGGCCACGTTTTGGGCCTTTTCCATTCGTGGCCAGGCCCTTTCCGGCCAGGTTCCTGTTCGCCCGGTAGCGGACACTCCCTGCTGCATCAGCAGGGAGGGCCTGGACGTCCGGTAGGGACCCAGGCAGGCCGTTTCAGGCCAAGGACCAGAGGCACACCATCGAGGCCCAGCGCTACATATAGCTGGGCCAGGCCAGGGCAGACACACAGTTCGAGTAGCTCACTTCTTGGGCGACACGCTGCTGGAGCCGTGGAACACAGTGCTGGGTTAGAGGTAGTGGTGTAGGTAGAGCGAGAGAGGCGGAGGCCATACCTGCAGCGCTGGGCGCCATAGCTGGACTCTACACCAGCGACCTGCACAGACACGCCGGCGGAAGTCAGTACATGGCGGCAGTTACCTGAAGGTGAGACAGCGAGGAGGACATCTTCTCCTTCTTCGTCTCGCCTTCCATCTCTTCCTCCTCCTTCCTCCTTTTTCTTCTTCTTCTGTCACAGAGAGAGAGAGAGAGAGAGAGGTTACAGGCAGAAGTTACATTGGGCTACGAGGCCCAGGATCTGATTCGACATTTTGTGCCAGCAACTGATTGGACACTCGGCACAGAGACTATTTTTGGACTTCGCTATCGCGATCTTGGTCTTCTCCCTCACCTCCATCTTTGTCTCGCCTCCCCCCATCTCCCCCATCCGTGGTATCTCCCCATGTGCGTGCTCAAGGAGGGACCTTTCTTCCATGTATGCGGTCCCTCCCCTCTCTCTCACATGTGTGGTGTATGAGGGGGTGTTGCGTCAGTATCTGATAGGTCAGGTCATATCTTTGAGTCTTCCGTTGCGCTACATTATGCTATTTTCGTATGTATCTGGATGCACATTGCTTGTCGATGCTTCGCTGACGCTGCATTGTCCATTCGAGTCCTTTTCATCACTTTGCGGATCTTTGGCTCCATATACATCGCTGATCGAGCATGTATCGGTACACTACTACCTCGGTACACTACTACCAAGTGGCATAGCTCAGTTGGTACACCACTGAAGTGTTGAAATACAGACCAGGTGTGGAGTTCGAACTCCACTGGAAGCAGACGAGCACGATACTGCAATTCCGAATTACCTACAGCCAATCAGTTCAAATAATGATATCTCAACAGATTCTCGAGGCCATATAAGAGATTTAAGGAGGGGGAAAAAAAAAAGAGACCACACTAGAGAGTCGTTGAGAAAATCCTTCCATCGGAATTCATCCGAAATATCAGATATGTAATGACCCGCCATAACACGGACTGAGAACACTGCCGATTTCTGAGTTCTGCCGATGGAATGGATGCCTTGCTGAGATTCCCGCACGCTGAGTTTTCTAAGTCTGTGTGTGTGTGTGCGTACTTGGTGACCTGCGTGCCTGTCTGAGTGCTTGTCGGCATGAGTGTGCGTGACCCGCACGGGCACTTGCTTGTTTGGGAGGCCCGGAGGGCGGTACTTACCTGTGGCCGTGACATGGAGAGTTGCAGCAGGGAAAACACTCAATTGGCGGAGCCAGAGGCCCGCGGCACTTAGAGCAGCGGAAAAACACTCAAGTAGTAGGTAGGCCGGTACAGCACCGAGTAGAAGTAGATGTGCCGGGTACTCAAGGCCGAGCAGAAGAAGACAAAGTTGGCATTTTTAGAGGCCCAGTAGCGGTAGGCTAGGCCTAGGTGGATACCAGTCCATCCAGTCTGAGTTAGGGCCTGTACGGGCAATATCAGAGTCTGCAATGATGTTTCCCTCCGAAAGGGAGGAGGTACCGGTTGCTTGGACACCACGCGGCCTAGGAATTCACATTGGCAAGAGGCAAGCAGGCCGCTATACCTCCAGGAGGTGCCAGTTGCTCCTCCTCATTGTCGGTGTGCAAGTTTGGCGACACACTGGTTGGAGCGCTGGCTGGAGCAGCGCTAACACTCAGCTGCGCTGCTGGGAAAGGAGCAAGGACACGGAGGAGGAAGAAGATCAGGACTAGGAAGGGGAGCGCCAGAGGTACTTACCTGGCTATGGTGGTTGCCATCTTCATCACCTTGGTGGGCGCTACAGCAGGAAGGCCCAGTTGGGGCAGAGCTACACCGAGAAGCTTCGACGCGGAGTCAGGCATGGCGGCCTGAGCTAGAGCAGCCATAGCTGCTTTGTGATGTCCTTTGGACAGCAGGGCGATGCCCTGGTAGTCCGCCATAGCCTCGGCCTATGAGGAAGGGAGAGAGAGGGACGGCCATGGCTATGGTGGAACCCAAGCGATACCTGCAGTAGAAGAGGGACTCGAACATTGAGTCTGGATCAGCCATTCAACATTGTTATTATATTCTTGTTTGAATAACAGGGGAGGAGGTAAGGATGAGGAGAGCGGTTGGCGAAGAAGAAGAGTATTATCATTGGTCTATGCTGGTGTACATCATCTTCTTCTTCTTTCTTTCTTCTTCTTCCTCTTCTTTCCCTCTCTCCCCTCTCAAGTTCATTCATTTGTTTTTGCAAGCGGACGGCATTGTATTTTCTGATGAATGTGTACTTCGAAATTGGCCAGGATCTTAACATTTCTGTATTTCGTGAGTAGCACAACAAGCCTTTGGAGTTCGCCTGTATCTGGCATCAAACTCGGCCACATACAAGAGCTGGCTTTGCAGAGAGTTTGGGTAGAGTAGCACAAGAGTGAGAATGGCCTCCTCGTTCCATCTGCTACGAGCAGGTCCAGCCGCTGACTTTGAGAAGGCCAGTGCCATTACCACCCTCAATTTTTCATGCACCGATACTGATCGCTTCCAGCCTCAGCAAAATTCAAATTCAGGCTCGTTCATTTAGCCTCAGATGTACTGGTGGTTTAAACCACCAGTACTTCCTAAAGTTGTGCCCGTTAACGAGCCACGATTTTAGGAAACGTACGGGCCACTACAGGAGCGCCCAAATTCATCCAACTAGAAACGTTTCTACTCTATTTTTTTCCGCAGCCGATAGCTGGGCCAAGTACTGGTGGTTTAAGAAGGACAAAATGCCTCCCTGGGAGTTTGGATATGGGGTTCCTTTCACACAATTTTTGGACATCTCACAAGCCCCCTCAACGCAGAGGGTAATCATCCAGAGGGAGATCAATGCTGCCTGCAGATGATTTCTGAATAACGAGACGCTGGACCCGGTTCCGGTTTCCAGCACGTGCAGCTCGCCACCAATAGATTGGAGCCATCTTAATTCGGCTAGTATCTATCTACTTACCGAACATGCTGTTATTACCCTCAGTAGCGGGCACTGTCTCCTATAGGATGCTGTGCTACAGAGAAAAGAGAAGAACCTTCTCCTTTCTGTACCCGAACAGTACATACCTTCTTTGGCCTTTTGACTAAGATAAAGTGTAGTACCTATTCTTATCAGTTTAATATCCGATCCATGGTTGTTCTTATTATCAGTTTAATATCCGATTCCATGGTCCATCGACAAGAAAGAGTACACCGTCATTGCAAAGATTGTCAACAAATGTCAGTAAAAACACCCTAAGGTACATCGGCAGGTCCTTGTGTGTTTCTCTCCGCACTTCTGTTCCCTTTGAGCTAATTGAAAGTGACCATAAACGACGTAAAGACAAGAAGGACACGTTCATGACATTATGGAATTCATAAGATGCACTCGTATCATATGAGCATCAAAGCATTCAGATGCATCTATGATAGTCCTGGGGTTTCTTCAGCACTGCTTGTCATCATTACAATGCATGATTACGGTGTGGTCACACCGTCACAACCAAACGTAGCTAAGGGCTTCATTGCTCACAACCAAAGTTCTCCAGCTGAATTTAATGAGAATTGCAGTCAGGAACATCCGGCAGGGTCCAAAAAGTGTGAATACGCCCAAGGAAGGAAGCCAGATGCGTGCATCCATTGAGCATAACTTTCAATTTGATTCCACCAGCATTCTCTTCGTATATTGCTCCTGGCTGACCGAATGACATAATAATAACTTAGAACAGTCCTGACCAAACGTGGGACAGAGACAGTCATGACAGGGTGTGCAGCAACACCACAAGTGGGCCAGACCACACAAGGCTGATATGACAAGAGCACCCCAAGGACGTACTGGCAGGAGGATCGTTTCCTGAATGAATCTGACCATCATTATGGCCCGCAGCAGTCCAAAAAGCCCTACCACCTTTCCCTGAACACTGCACCCTCATCATAAATGTATACAAGCAATCTTTCCAGCCAGATGCAGTCATGATGAGGATGCGTAGAGTTCAGCGCAAGACAGTCGCAGTGTAAGTGAGCATATACTATATATAGTCAAACAGAGCTGCCCCGTAAACCGTCGGCAGAGAGGGAGAAGAGAAATATTGCCAAATAATATTGTCACATATCTATGAACTAAAAGAGCGCACTTTGCGAAACAAACGGTAAAAAAAAAAACAATAAGAAAAAAACTGAAGCATCTGACCATAGTTACAGCCAGAATAGAGTATACACTTGGCAGGACTGTCATGGTGCAAGCCAAAAAAATGGAAATACCTGTGATGGTTGACAGCTTGCCGCGCAAACAGCTAGGGGGTAACGACAAGGGAATACTTCTGAAAAAATCTGAGGGAGCAGGATTTGAACCCGCGAACTGCCCCGAGTTTTCCTTGGTTTCTTAAGTTGTTGTTGTCTTTTTCCCCGCCAGAGCTTCGAATGGGAACCCCACACAAGGTAAGTACATAACTGTTTGCTTTTGTGTGCTGTTTCGAAGATCGTGAGATTTCAACCTAGTAGGACCTCTTCGCTGTATCTCTGTTGCCTAATTTTAGAGTAGGCCCATCCAGACCTGTAGTTCTCGATCTTTCCAATAGGCGGACCCCGCAGGCTTAGGCTGGGAAGGAGCTCATCAAAAGTGATGAGCTGGGCAGTAGTAGGTAGCTAGTTCTCATTCCACAAGTTCGCTGGAGTGACGAGAAGACGTAACGTTGTTTTTGAGGCGGATGGCAGGGAGAGCGGGTACACAGACATAGCCAGGCAGGCCTGACAATCTACTGCATTATTTCCTGATCGAATTGATTCCGAGTGCTCGGGCCAACTGCGCACCCCTGTGGACATACGAATATCTCTGTTACATCAAGTAGCCGCGAGTGTATATTAAATTCCAAATTTTCCGGAAGCTTCAAATCAAGTGCGCAAGTGTGATGATGAATGCAAATATTTGAGATTCTTGAGAAACCTTAACAGAAAGATGCTCTTCTTCCCAGATGACTACACGCCCCGAACATTGTTGCCGTAACAGGACTTTGCTCCTTCCAACAAGCCAAGTGGCAAGTGATCCTTTTGGTACAGCAGGTATGGGGTAAATAAATTAGTGAGTGCTTTCCTTAGAACAGCAGGAATGTGGCA